GTTCGAATGGAGATTATCTCTCTCACACACACACACCCATTAACAACATTCAGGCTTTACGAATATGTGATCTGTTCTTATAAAAAGGCAATACTCTCTCCCAGATATAACAATGGTTTATAGATTCATCTCCAGGGAAACGCTTTGGCACAAACTTAAATCCTTCACAATGGATAGACAGCTCCTCACCCTCTTCTATGCACTTCATAGTAGCAGCAGACTGAAGGTGAGATGCAATTCAGCAGGCCATCTCTCAGATATAGTGCGATCTAGCAAGGGAGTTGAGCAAGGGCATATTCTATCCCCATTATTATTTGGATATTATATTAATGCATTCGTAGAATATCAGCCCCCAAAACTGGCAAAAAATCTTTAATGTTTTATGCACATGATGTGGTAATTTTATCACAGAAAACTGTTGGATTGAGAAGGACTAAGGGGTCACACTCTCTCTCTTTTGCAAGGATCTTTATTGCAAATCAATTTTGAGGAAATTAACACTATGCACCATGCACCAAGAGATATAAAGAACTGTCCTGGAGTTGGAAAACCCACTGAAGAATCTTACTTTTCATATTTGGGACCTGCGCTATAATATACATGGAAGTAAAATGCCCTTTATCGTCCAGATTTTGCTGACAGCCCAGAAAAGCTCAGCAGCAATTCTCCCCCCCTCCCCCCACCAATGCAGTTTATTCTGGCTGCACTGGATTTATCTATGGCCCTACCAGTGGCCCACTTCTTGTACAGGCCTTAGTTGAATCCATTAATTACGCTAAACGTGAGAATGCAGACTAACCTATTATGAATGTTGCTCCAGGTAACAAGATACATCCCTAAGCAGCCCCCATAGCTAAAAGTAGGGTTGCTGAGGGTTGAGACAAAGGTGTAGCTAAGTATTTTCAAGTACTGGCTAAGATTAATCTACAACCCCAAGGTTTCACATCTCTTATCTTGTTAGACAATTCAAATCCATCTGGAAATAGCAAACTGCAGAGAGAATTCAGAAATTGGATTTTGCACCAAAGGCACTGCTGACGCTGGGACAAGACCAGTCTACAGCAGTTCTTAGATAAAGGATCCTGGATTTAGAACTGCAAACTGAATACAGCAAAACACCACTGAAGAACAATTGGGACGCAGTAAGTTCTACTTCAAACTGGCCCACTATCTTAACCAGCTTAAGTTTAATGAATTCCATAGGGCCTTTATTTAGCTGCATGTTGATATCTTGCCATCAGCTGTACTGGAGAGTAAGTTTCAGAAAACACTACGTAGAAAGGACTGGCCCGTGTGTTACATTATCGAAACTACTGGGGAAATAGATGCATGAAGTGAACTCTCTCCTTCTGGCAGATAAAGTTAATAAAACATAAGCCATTGTTAAGCTGCATTTGCAGTCTGTAGAACTTGTGTTTTACTAATGGCAAATTAACTTTGGATTGATTTGGTATTATAATATGTAGAGCACTGCATAGGCCTCTAAAGTACTGTATCATTCTTACCTTATTGTACCTTATTTCTGCCTTCCAACTTATTTACTTATTTAACTGTACTCTATGTTTATTGCTTTTGATATGCTTGGTAGGTCTGTGACTTGTAATAAAGTGTTCCAATTCTGATTTCTCTATAGAATGCTATTACTAAATTTGTCCTCTTAGTGAATGGGAGAAAAAAAATCATTCCATGCACATCTAAGATAAGGAAAAAAGAAGGTAGGAAAGCACAATATAAATATAAAATCAAGCTTCTATATGTGAAGTTCAGTATCACTTTGGGGTAATGAGTTCTGAAAAGATATTTATTGTTAATTTGACTTGAAATAGATGCCAGATTTATTCAAAAAATCAGAAAAGAAAACTGAAGAAAAAAGATTGATATAATTTTACTATAGAACTAGCTCAATCCTCTATTATATTTTGGTTGTTATATTTCACCATTTTTTTTCCCCAATAAGCTCTGGTTTCAACTATAATTAATACTACAATAAAACCTTTAACAATCTAGGTACCTCTTATTTTCCTAAGTATTCTACATAGCTACAGGTCAATTATAATTAATTAATTTTTTGTAATTAGATTCCCTGTAGACAATTCATTGCAAAGGAGTAGCAATGCTTAATACTTCCCTAACGCCTCTTCCCAATAACCCAGGTTTCATTCCAACCAGGGCCCTAGATCTTTTTAAATCTTACGTATATGGAGTTAAACTCATCTGCAAATGGGAAAAGCATATTGAGTACCAAGAAATTAAGGAGACAACGGGACAACACTAAGAACTGGATGCAATTATTTTCCTACCACTTCAGAATGGCCTTTTACAATCTAAAAGAACTCATGGGAACCAGGGCCTTATTTTCCGATGTATGTATGTATGTGTGTGTATATATATATATATATATGTATATGTATATGTATATGTATATGTATATGTATATATGTGTGTGTGTATATATATATATATATATACACACACACA